CCTCCAAGAAGTTGGACTGAAGAATAGATTTTTGATTGATGTTGCTGTTAATGACAACGTGGAGCACTCTAGCCTCATGAAAGTCATATCTCTGGTAATTATAATTTGATGCGCTGGAATAAACATTGGTTACAGCCAGGTGTTGGGAATAGCTGCAATAAACCTGTGAGACCGAAATGTCCTTCCTTTCAGCTGGAGTACGAAAATAGGAGGTTGTGAATTTACCAGATGCCATTCATATTACTTCTGCCATAAGACTCGTATCTGGGTTTTATTGCAAAAGCGATTGGAATTAATTTTTAGAAAATCTCCTTTAGGAACATGCATGCTAAAATTCAATACTTTGGCCATGGCAGTAATTTTGGGAAGCGCTACAGTTTATTCAGTACAAATTATACAATATAAAAGTTAACAAATTTGCAATAATAAAAGAAGTTTTAAAGTATTTGGGGACACCAATTTAATAGTGTTTATTATTGAGGAAGCGGCTTTAAAAATAACATTTACCATTCGAATTATTTCGAATAACATTTACCATTCACTTAATTCTAACATTTACCATTCGAAAATCGCATTTAGGAATTTCCAGTTGCTAAAATTCAATAATTTGACCAAGGCAATAATTTTGTGAAAAGCTACTGTTGATTCAGTACAAATCATATAATATAATAATTAAATAATTTACAATAATAAAAGAAGTTTTAAAGTTTTGATTTATGTGTTACTGCAGAATAACATTTGCCAATCACTTAATTTTAACATTTAACATTTACCATTCAAAACTCTTTTTGCAGGAGTTTGTAACCTGAAGGTCTATTCGCCAGCGCTGTTGCCTTTGGTACCATAAACTTCAGGTTCCAATCCTGGCGGTGGCATGAATGTTTGGCAGTGGTTCGGAATCCATGTTAAACTGTAGGTCCCGGTCTAATTAGCCCAAAATGTGCACAAAATGACCGATAAATCAAATCAAATCTTTAGCATTTTAAATGCTAAAATTCGATACTTTGGCTATGGCAATAATTTTGTGATGAGCTACAATTTATTCAGTACAAATTATACAATATAGTAGTTAAATTATTTGCAATAATAAAAGAAGTTTTAAAGTTTTAATTTATATTTTACTGCCGTATTTGGTGGCACCAATTTAATACTGCTTATTATTGAGGAAGCAGCTTTAAAAAGGACATTAACCATTCACTTAAATTGGTTATACAAAGAACTAATGTGCTTGATAACAGTGATTTTAATAATAAATCAAATTAACTGTGTTACAACAATGACATAAGTATGTTACATCCATTTTATGACGAAGGCTTAAAATTTGTCAGTAAAATGGATAGATTTGACTTTTTAATTCACATTTCCTTAAAAGATTTTTAATAATTATTTTTACTTTGCATTTAACGATAATTTTTCAACAAAAAAAAAAAATAAAGCTATTTTATATGATTCTTAAGTTCAACTTCTAAAGGTTTTTGACACAAATTGATGTTATAAGTTGTATTTAATCGAAACGATAAACTTGCAACATATTTTTACTAATTTTCCCTGTTATTTTGAAAATTTCTGATAATATCTGAGCAATTACATATTACGTTATCTAAACAATTATATATTAAGTTATCTAAGCAATTATATCGTATCATGCAATTGTGAGCGATTCATTATTAGTGAACCTGAACGTGAAAAAGAATTATGTCTGTTATTAACATTCATTTTATTTCTACATTTAACATTATTTGAATTATATGTATATATTTATGGTCATCGGATTCGTGTAATTGTTCTTTGGAATATACTCGAAATCATTAAAAAAGATCGCGGTACACCTTCCTCAAAGTTGATCACGCTGTTTTCCTTATCGTAAAGGAAAATTCCAAATCAAATCTAGTCTTTACATCAGTTTAATCTGTAGGTAATGTGAGCAAAATGAAACTGTTTCACAAGGTAAAAATATTTCGTAAATGTGGATTTTGATTTGAGAAAAATTACGCAATGTTTGTCATTATTTTCAAAATAATGGATTGAATTAAATGCTTTTTTCCCAACTTTTCATAAATGTTTTTTGCGTATGAAGGCACTGAGATAAAAGTAATAAAGTTCTTGAAATGGCCTGGAGGATAGTTCTCCGAGCGTTTGAATAAAGTTAGTTTAGTTCAAAGCCCAGTAAACGAGGTGAACCAAAAATGTTCCTGTGTTTGGTAAAGATGAGTTTGGTAAATCTGTACATCGTATTATGCTTCCAATAGGTTCAAAAAGAGAGGTTTCAGTCCCGTACATGATATACTTCGAATTTTCGTTTCGCATGTTGCTGGAGCTGGGCAACTGGAGTGCCGATTACAGAGTACTAATGGGAATAAAACCCTCCTCATCTTAATTAATAATATTAAATTATAATTTTAGTAGGCTGCTTTAAATAACCCATTTTTACCCAACTTTTCCCAAATGCTTTTGCTTATGAAGGCACTGAGGTAAAGTACAAAAGTTCTTGAAATTGCCTGGTGGATAGCCTCTGAACGTGAGGTTAGAGCTAGTATAGTTCAAAGCCCAGCAACGTGAACCAAAATGTTTCTGTGTTTACGGTAAAGATGAGTTTGGTAAATATGCCGAATTATTCTTTTAATAGATTTAATCAAAAACAGAGGTTTTAATCTCTTTAAATGGCATACTTCGAGTATGCATTTCAAATGTTGGTGGAGCTGGCAACTGGCGTGTCGATTATAGAGTATACCAATGGGGATAAGACTTCTTAATCTCCATCTTAATTAGTATTAAATTATAATTTTAGTTGGCTGTTTTAAATATTAGTAATAAATAAAAACAAAATTTTCTCAAAATTAAAATGTGGTACTCAAAATAAAAAAAAATGTTTAATTATTAAAAAAAAAAAAATAATTGCAAGATAACCTTATAAAAATAAAATTTCTAAACGATTTTTAAATAAAATTTCAAAAATTAGAGATTTTTAAACATTAAAAATCATAAAGACGCCGCAAAATTAAAAAAACAAACCAGATAAAAATTCCCTACAGAAAAATAGGCCTTTCTCAGAATCAATAAAAAGAAACTTTTTATTTCATTTATTAATTTATTATTTTTTTAACTTTTTCCTTTTTCATTCATTCTAGTCCTTTTATTTTATTAAAAAAAGTGACGGAAAAAAATAAATATAAAGACTATACCTACTAGTAACTGAAAAATCGAAGCCTAAACCACCGGGGTCAGAGATTTGGCGACAATTCCTCCTCGTTAATAAGGACCGAAACCGGTCAGAAACCGGTCAGACGAAGAAAGAATGACACAATGAGATAACAGACATTAAAATAGAAGAAAGAAAATCAAGAAAATGGATTTTTTTTAAAGGCATTTCTCAAATCAATAAAAAGTTTTACAAAACTTAATTCCAGTTAATTATTATTCTAGTTCTTAATTCAATTAATTATTATTATTTTTTTTTTTTTACATAATATTGTAGCCTTTTAATTCCAGTTATCTGCATGAGGGAGAAGAGTTATAAAATTTTTTCGAAATATTATAAAATAAATTGTCTGATACTGATAGGCCTAAATGACACCTAATGTCCATATTTCTTAAAGTACCCATACGATTGTTAATAAGATCCAGATCAGACATTTTGTGTTTTTTCTTTTCCTACTATTAGTTCACACACTTTATACACTACGGTAGAAGGACACTTGATTTTGTTAACGGAAAAATATTTTATTTTTACTGAAATTTTTTATTAGCCGTAGGTCCCGGATCAAACATAAAATATTAATGGATCTTTGTAAAAAAAGTAGAAGGACAGCATTATAATGAATGAAAAATAGATTTTAATAAGGAATGCTTCCCATTGTTTATAACTTCAAATATTCTGTTTGGAAGAGAATTGTATAGAGATTGAACCATCAAAAATTGCACGCGTCTCCTGCGTAATGCAAGGTGAGTAACATCGGTGTCAGCCCTTATGGCGAAAGATCACGGTCTATTTGGCTGCCAGGTGCATCCACATTATTTGTTCGAAGAAAAACTTAATTCTAGTTAATTATTATTCTAGTTCTTAATTCAAGTTAATCTTATTGTTATTGCTTTTTTCCGTATTAATAATATTCTAGCCTTTTCGTGTTGAATAGTCCTCTTTGGATTATCTGCATGAGGGATAGAGTTATAAATTTTTTCGAAATATTATAAATAAATTGTCTGATACTAAGGGTAAGGGTGCAGAATTGTATATAAAATTGTTTTTTGAAATGTATATTGGTATTGTTTTAATATAGTAAGAAACATATGAAAAGACATTAAATTATTATTATATTTTCTCATCCAAAAATCTTTGCTAATGAACTAAATTTTACTAACTTTTTATTTGAAGTATCTCCTTGATATAATAGAATATTTGAATTAGAGAATTAGAAAGGAAATTTTTAAGGTGCAGGGTTTTTTTTTTTTTGACAGGTACAGTAAGTTTTCAATAAGGTTGAGAAAATTTGCATTAATACTAATTAATCGATTTTTAGGACGTCATAATAAAAAATTTGTGCCTAAAAGGAAAAAAGGGTATCTAATTAGTTTTTAGAGCAATTTACGTTGAAACTCAAACAGTTTCGGAATATATGATTAAACTTTCCTAACATATCAAACATTACAAGCTATTGTGCATTTCTTACAATATATACAAAACACAAAATATTTATAAACATGTTTGTTGTTGTTTCTTATCCCACTTGGCTCTACCAAGCCCACGAGCCCATACAACTACTCAAAAAAAGTAGATTGAAGGGGAAGGAAGCAGCTTCTGTTGTGATGGAGCACCCAGTCAGGTAGAAGTCTGACTTTGGCTCCGTGACGCTCTTACAGTCATAGGAGACCGGGACATACGGCTTAAAGTATATTCGAACCACTACAAACAACCCTGGCATCGCCGGGAAACCCGAAACCTGTGGCACCGAGCGCCAGAGCGCTAGAACAGTCGGCCATTCAGGTCCCAAATTTGTAAATGCAAACGGCACGCAGTTTCAAGGTGGTCACCCATTCAAGTACTGACCGCGCCCAATGATGCTTGACTTTTTAGTGATCTTACGAGAATCGGTATATTCAGCATGGTATGGCCGTTGGTTGTTTATAAACATTAATGTTAAATACTCAACATTAAAACAAAAGCCCTTTTTACATACAAATATAAACATTTAACATAAACCATTTTTAAAACGTAAGTAATCAAACACAAATTACATTATAAATAAAAAGTACCAGCCTAGAATTATAAACATTTTGAAAGAATGAAGAGGTTAGTAGTATGATCTCCTTAAAGATTGCTTTTTTTTTTTTTTTCTTGAGAGATATTTGAATTTTGCCCATGAACACAATTACAATTTGTTATGTAAGTGAACAAGTTTTTGAATAAATTAAAGCAGCAGTGTTTTATTTCTTTGGGCTACTTTTATCTGTGTCTTTTTACATCTATTAAGTCCAAATTTGAATAAGCAGATTTTTTTTTATCATTTGCTCAGATAACAACTAGAGTTAGAGTTTCACAAACATTTTATCATTTTTTGTTGTTATATAAGTTCTTCCTTTTTGTACCATTATACTTTTTGCAAAAAAAAATTTAATCTTAATGGCTGATAACAAGTCAATAATTATCTTTTAGTAAGAAGGAAATAAAGTAAAAAATAAAGAGTTATTTTGTGTTTTTTTAAAAGAGATTTTAGTTGATGTTTATAAGCATTCCATTTTTAATTTTAAGGCCATGCTCTTAAGAAAGTTAAATTAATATTTAGATTTTCATTTGGTTGGGATCAACTAAAGAAAAATCAATAATTTATCTTAATAGCTCTGGTCATATCTTTAATTTTAAATACTTAACTGCTTATACAATTTTATTACTGTTTTTTGCAGTAAATAAAGAATAAAAATTGACTTTTTCCCCAACAACAGTTGGTTTTTGGCTAACTGTATCCAACCATGAGTGCGCCATCTGTTGGTGTTCCTGCAAACCTACAAAAGAAAATGATTTCGTATTTATGTACTTTGAAACCGGTGTATTTGTTGACGTATTGGACTTCGTGTAACCACTGCTTTTGTAGTATTTTTGTAATCTTTTTATATTTTTTCAATTTATGTAATTTTTTATTTTTAATTCTTTTATTTTTATTTACTTTCACTTAAAATTTTTTAAAATTTTAACTATAACTTTTAATTATTTTATTTTCGGGCATCGTCAACGGACTCCTAATTGTATCGATAGCTTTAGCTTTTTCGATCTCTTGCTTGAATTGTTCTCAAGCAAAGATGTCTTTCTTAAATTCTTTAATTTTTCCTTTTTATAATCTATAATTTAAGCAACTACAATAGGGCAGATATTTTAACTGACTTTTAAAATGTGGAGGTTTTCGTGGGTCTTAAAACCACATAGGAACTCCATAACCGGTACGCCCATTGCCCCTACGAATTAATTTTTTTTTTTAAAGATTTTTCATTTTCCTTGTGCTGCCATCTAGTGTGCTAATTCAGAATAAAAAAAATTAGTTGTATTTTTTCACTTTCCAACAATGGAAATTTAAAAGCTGTCTTTATTTATTAAAAATTGCCTATATTATCTAATTTATATACCAGTTTTATATTTATGTTTATATATTAATTTCACACTAATCTAATCTAAAAACAAAAACTATTATTTTAAAACTGAGAAATTATAAGGTTAAAAAAAAAAAAAAAAAAACATTATTTGAACGATAAATTATAACTGAAAAAAAAATCTGAGATTGTTTTTAACATAAAATTTTGCATTGATACTTAAATTCAAGTATAATTCGCATATTTATGTATAATATAAATATTTTCCCTCGATTTAGTTATATGAATAAGATTATAGTAATTTAAAAATTCAAGGACAGTTTTTAGCTTTTGTCTGTCTCAAACGGAGAAAATTGCATTTACTTCCAACACATTTAATGAATCGAAAATATTAAATAATTTTTAATAATCTAGAATTTTCAAATAATTTACTTCATATTTATGCAATTAATCTATAAAATATATTTAATTTATTTATTGAAATGATAGTGGAGTAACAGCAAATTCTACAGTCCCACTAAAGATTCGAGGAATGTCCAAAACTTTCTTCAAGTTTTTATAAAAAATTTAAATTAATTAGTTATTTTAGCATTTATTAGTAATTCATTTTTTAAAAAGTCAACTGAAGAAAATTTCCTGGGAAGTGGGATTCTTTTTACGGTTAAAAGTTACAAACAGAATATAACTGCAGGTCATGTATAAAAAGACACAGATTTTATACTATCACATTATTTTACAACATGTAAGGAAAAAATATTTCACGATTAGTTGATTTTGTAAATTATTGCAAATGTAGGATGTCCATAAATTATTATATTCATTTTTATGGATAAAAATATATTAAAAGCAGAAGGTAACTTGTTTAATTCCTTAACCGTGCTGAAGGAGCACCCCCTATGGAGTTCAAGAGAAATGGTCAGTAGACTTCAAGACTCTTACCCAAGAGCAAGTACAGCGCAACCGACTTTGCTGCTGATAAACGTTTAGTGCAGCGCAATCACGCGCTTCTGTTGAAAAAAAGTTAGTTTACAATCTCTCACCCCGAGAGGAAATATATGTAGCACAATCCTGTTATTGGCTGTGAGACTCACATCCGAAAGGAAGTATATTTCCCGTACCTGAATATCTTTATTTTCGGCTTAGAGGTAGAATTTTTCCACCAATCTATAATATGTCTTTAAATGTGTTAAATACTGTATATCTCTAATTGTACGTGTGTTCTGTTGGTGCATGTGTCAATAAAGCCGTGAGTTCTCAAATCTGTGTCTCAAGTCTCAACCTAACCACCCCTAGTTACATTTCAGCTGCACAACTAGAAAACTACATAACTTAATCAATTTAATAAATATCTTTGCGGCTTCCCTTTTCAAACTTGCGCAGACATTACTTAATTTCACATTGAGTATTTCCCGATATTTTAGGCAGCGATATGCCTTCGAAGTTCATTTAGATTTAATACATCAATATTATATGAGATTTAATAAACCACAGAATTTCATGAAAAAAATATGAATTGGTATAAAAATCTGGGTATCAGATCTTTTAAATACATATCACACGGGCTTGTTACGTTTCATTCAACATGAAGCAAACCATCTTTGACACAATGAGTATACGATAAATATAATCTCTGGCGCCCTTATTTGCGGGAGAGAAAAGTCATATAACAACAAATCGCACTGTCCTCGTTGGTTTCCGTGAAATAAGCTACGGAGGATAAATGCTGGATGTGCGTACAGCAATAAGCTCATTATTAGAATGACAATAACGGTTTGCTTCGTGTTGAAGGTAATGAAACTAGCCCCTCTGATAAGTCTTTTATGATATACAACTGCTATTTCTTCTAAGTATTGCATTGTAAAGAAGAAAGAACATTTTTACCTGTGACACTGTTAACAAATACACAACCACCGGAATCTGTAAACTCAAATGAAAATAACTTATGTAAAAAGGGTTATTGATTATATTTATATCTTAGTGGAGAGTTTTTACGTCTTTATCTCTTTTATCTTTATAGTTAAAAGAGATAAATTGCGGTTGGCAAGTTTAGGCTGCTGTCAGACCCCAAATGTCTTCAGGTCTATCAACATCACACTGGACTCGAAAACTCTTTTGACCTTTGTTTTCGCAACTTAAGATATTAAATTTCATTTAAGATTTAGATGAATGCCTTGCATTTGTGTCGTTTAATTGTATTTTCCAGAAATATTTGAGGGCATGCAGCCTAACAATCAGTAGACTTGCATTTGCCAACAATAGTCCCATATATTTAGCATATTGGACTCTCAAATTCTTCTGATTATTATTTGTACAACTTAAGATATTAAATTTCATTTAAGATTTAGGTGAGTGTTTAGCATGTAGTTTAATCATATTTTCCAGAAAACTTTAACAGCATGCAGCTTAATGGTTAGTAGATGGGAATTTGCCAACAATAGTTCAATATATTTAATATATACATTGTATTGGACTCTCAAATTCTTCGAACTCTTGTTTGCGCAGTTTAAGCTATTAAATTTCATTTAAGATTTAGACGACTGTCATCCATTTGTGTAGTTTAATTGTATTTTTCAGAAATATTTGAAAGCATGCAGCCTAATAGCCAGTTGCATTTCCCTAACAATAGTCCTATATATTTAGCATAATGTTAATATATATAGTTGTATTTGCTCGTATTCATCTGATTATTGGTTGCGCAGCTTAAGATATTACATTTTCTTTTAAAATTTAGACGACTGTTTTGCATTTGTGTCGTTTAATTATATTTTCCACAAAAATTTGACAGCATGCAGCCTAATGATCAGTAGATGTGTATTTGTCAACAATAGTCCTATATATTTAGCATATACATACGTTTTCTGCAAATACAGTTCATAAAATAGAAAAAACAAACACATAACTTTTGTCACGCTATTTAATATACACGATGAAAATTATACATAAAGCTTCTTTGGTTCGGTAACAATTCGTCTGACTACAACATACAAAATGTCCATGGAGTGTAACAATTCATAGATAATTTGACACAAAGGATTCGCTGTCAGCCCACAGACGTCGAGCCAAATCGTCATCCTGAGCTGTGCTTGAAGGATTAATCACTGACAAATCACTGAAATCAAGAACGGATATTGAAACACGTTAGTTCAATCACACACACACAACCATTGTTTAAAAAATAATATAGTAAAGAGTGATATTTTTCATATGCATACAATTAGGGATTGCAATACCGGTATACCGGGATAGCAAATACCGGTATTTTGAGCCATTTATACAATTTTATAATACCGGTATTCACGAGTTTAAATACCGGGCAACGGCAACGGGCGTACCGGTTACGGAGTTCCTAGGTGGCTTTAAGAGCCACAATACCTCCACATCTTAATTTAATTAAAACATTTGCACAAATTGGGGTTTCTTAATATTTATGAGTAATAATAAAATAGAAAAACAAGGGGTAAAAGTTAGAAAACATCCTCCAAGCTTGCTAACAATTAAAGCAGGGATCGAAAAGCTAAGCTATCGGTACAATTAAG